TCTTAGGCTTTGTGGGCTATATTTATCGACCAACATCAAGAAATCACTGAATGAAGTCACACTGACGTTTAAGTACTGTAAAATCGAGTCTGCATCTTTACGCTTTGGAATTTCGATATCTTCGTTTATGTACTTTGAGAAACTTTCCTTAACTGCATTCATAGATGGGCTTCTAACTTTTGAAACCAATTTGTTTTCAATAAAATTTTTAGCCAGCGATTTCTCTTTTTCTGTTACGGATTTGATAAACTCTGAGTAATTTTTCAGAAATTCATTTAACAAGTTGCCATGTGACGCATGCTCTTCAGAAGAATCACTATCGTTGGAGCTTTCGTCACTAGATTTACGTTTGTTCACTTGTACCTTCTCGTTGGACTCCTTCGAATCACTTTCGCCACTATCATCTTTCCACGTCAGATGTCTTGCTGAAGCAATCTAATTAACATGAAACATTTTTAAAACATTTGATTTATTTATGTGTTTTGATTAAAAATACGCTACCTGCAGTAAAATGCAAGAAAGTAACAGCAAAAACGTCGCTTTCCTCCACATATTCTCACTTTTTCCGCACTATAATATTATTACGCCCTGAATGTTTAAGTCAAAATAAATCATTTGCATTGTTTTACTTAAATTATATACCATTTTGAAGCGAAGACAGATTAAAAAATACATTATGTGTAAGTTTTTGTTGGTTTTCAGATTTGAATTTGATAAACTTGCACCCTACATTGCCTATCGCGATCAACAAAGTCTTCTGGATTAATTAGGAATTTATATTAAAAGTCAATGCAACTCCGAGGTTTGATACAATTAGTATTTGAAACACGGAAGCGCAGTTTGGCCCATAGTGCTGCCACGATAATATCTTCACGAAGCATTGAAGATTTTAATAAAGATTTTAAAGTCTTGTATATGTAAGGGTTGTGCAGTTCCAAAAATGGAGTTCACCACTCCCGTTTGCTCCGTCGCGTCAGTGTTTTTACCTAACCTAAAAAAACATAGCAGGGAGTATGTAACAGGCAAGTTTTTTGAGTTTAAAAAAATACTGAAGTTATGGAGCAAATTGTAATAGATATTCGTATTCAAAATACATAAAGAAACGATAGTCTGATCCCCGAACCCTGAGACATTTTTTGTGTGGTAGTATAATCTAGTCATTCACTTGCCTACTTACAGCTTAAAAGAGATCACAGGCTTAAGCACATGTACGTTACATTGTTACGGGTCAGGGAACAGTTATTTATCTGATTTCCATACCTGAAACCTCATCAACGCTGCAGCTTTCGAAAACACGCATGAACTCATAAAACCACAACCATTTGTGGGTACCTTTACGGTAAACTTATTTAGAGACCTCCTACCTTTTATAGCTAGTTCTTCAAGATTGGTGCAGTTTATTTGCCTCTGCTGTCAAGGCAAAACTTTATTAGGAGCTTGCTTACTACTGCTTACTTCTCGAGCAATGGGATCGCCGTTTATCGCCATTTAGCGCCGTCGGTGCTCATCACGCATACTTAGTACAAATATCGAGCCCAAGGGCGGTAGAAAACAAGTGAAGGGAAAAGATCCACCAATTACTTCAAAGCCTTATACCACAACAAGTCCACCGCTACTTCCGGAGTTTTACGCTCGGAAGCTCTATTGGAATGCATTCAAAAATCCCCTCATTGCAAACTTTCCAATAGGCGCCGATAATAATGTTGACGACCTCGTAACACCATGATCTCAATAAAGCAAAGAGTACAAGCTCACACCAAGTTCTTCAAGTGATCAGCTCTTTTCAAAGCTTATAAATTTTTATACTCCTAGCTGAAAGCTTTAATAGCAGGAAAAGCGTTGAACAGTCACTTTTCTCTTTGTGCGCCAATATCCTGTATTATTACCGCTACTAGTCGCCTAAGGGAAGAAGATTATTAATTTAAAAGTAAGCAGATTTGTCTAACATTCTGACGAACCTAGTAAATACTCGTCGAAGTACGTTTCGCTATTCACTTCAGGGGTAGAGTACATACATATGTACATAAGTATGCCTGTATGTTCGTACTCGAAAATAATCTCTCCTTATCACTTGCTTTCAAGCCATTACAAATACTGTTTTTTTTTTGGCAAAATAAATAACAAACTTTATACATTCTCCGCACTTTATTCAAAATCTCATGCTCAGTTATTCGTTCGTCCAGTACAAAATCGATTTTTCTTCGCCGACTGCAGTCAGGTTCAAAGTTTTTTTATTTAAATATTTGCCAAATTTTATTGGTATTGGATGGAGTAATTAGATGCATATATTTTCGTATGAATTTTTTTTTATTTATGCGCATATATACTCGTAAATTTTTTGCGTACATATGTCACAAGCACACATGTTTGGGTACATATATACATATTTGTTCCAAGGCCGCGGCATTCAATTTATTTAAGCTAACGAAATTGATTGATTGAGATTTGTGTAGGGTATTACTTAAGTCTGTATTCAGAAAATTCCCCTTAGTGTACTCTTCCACACATGCATACCTAGTACAAGCATTGATATGTTTATATGCTGGAAATTACCAAAAATATTTTGCGAATAGTTTTATTTTCGTACAAAAAAAAATCTGTTTATGTGTTCACCTACATATGTATACCCTTTTGGTCAGCTGATTAAGTCAAGTGGCATTTTTTCTATTTTTCTTTTGTTTATTTAATTCTTATATCTTTTTTATAAAAGTCTAGCACATTACCTAACCAGCGCCACATTTTATTTAGAATTTTTGGAAAAATCTTGGGTATACAGTTTTGTAGCTAATTAAATTTCAGCAGATTAAAGGGCAAAATTTTAAATTCTACAAAATCGCGTTGATTTTTAATATTTTTTTTTTTTGGCGTTGTTAGGCATTTTCCTACATATAAAAGTAATTGTCGAGCGTACTTTATGTGGGAGAAAATGATCAACACCGTTAGCCAAAAAACATTATTTAAAGTCAACGCGATTTTCAAGCGTCTTAAAACTTGCACTTTAACCTACTAAAATAAAAAGTGAATGAACAATTTTTGGAGCTATTGTTAAAGATTGTTGAATTTTCATAATTTTTGTGCGAAGTTTGAAACATGGATTTATGGGGCACTGGTTAAATAGGTAAAGTGCTAAACTTTTATTAAAAAAATATCAACATTAGATAAAGAAAATAAAAATAGCCGAACCTAGTCAAAATGTCACTTGACTTAATCAGCTGACCAGAAGTGTATGTATAGTATATTTATTTAAAAATGTACTTGTAAAATTATGCATTCATCTGTATGGATGTTTAGATTGATTATTACTTTGCAAACAAACTTATTTGTTGTGCACATATTGCACATTGAATTTGCACGTACATTTGTGTGAATATATTTATGTATGTAAATATGAGCTCTTTGTATCTTCTAAAATATATACATATATACATGTACACATATACGTTTTGTCTGATTTCGGGAGTTTCGCTTTACAAATGTTCTCAATTATTGATAACTTTTGAATATACATACATATGAGGCCATTAGGGCCAGATAAGCCTATCTACATTTTTTTTAGTAATATGAGAAAGAAGGAAAAAATAAATGCGGTCTTGTACTAAAAAGTTCTATGCGCCTACATAGGTGATCCTACATATTATAGTCAAAGAAAACTAAAAGGGCGTGCCTAGGCCTTTTACCGTTTCTTATGTTTATTTATTTATTTTTAATAATTTTCATTGAATTATATTAATCTATAACCGAAACCACATAAATAAAAGTTTCAAAGCTTTCACAAATTTCAAAAAAAAATTATCAACCTTCGAAAAATTGTCATTAAAATTTCAAAATTTTTAATTGTAATATTTCGGGAATGCAGTTCTGTAGCCCATTCAATTTTAGTCAAGAAGTGAATTTTTAGAATTTTTTTTTATGAGGGTATTGCGCATTTTCTTCCATGATCAAAATCTACATAATTCTAAATTTTTAAAATTGAATGGCCTACCACACTGCAGACCAGAAAAATTTTTAAATGTTTTTATAAAAAATTTTGAAGATAATTTTTTTTGTTTTATTTTTTTTTTGAAAATTGTTGTTGCTTTGAAACATTTATTTATGTGCTTTCTGTTATAAATTGAATTACATATATTTTAAGGCATTATTATATTATTATTATAAAAGTGGTTTATAGCACTCAAAGGTACATTTTTAGCGATCTATCACGCCTTAAAAATATAAAATGATTACAAATGTTGTGTAGAAGGAATCCTTATTCATGAAGTCAAGGGCGAAATTTTTTAGGACATCGTAATACCCTCAAAGCACCCATTTAAACTAGAAGAGGTAATTTCCAAAATTTTATTCGACTTGGTTAAATATCAAATAAAAAAAAATTTAAAAACATATTTTCTAAATTTTTGGCTTAGGTAAAAATTGCAAGAATCCTTGGCCAGGTTTCAAAGGTATACTGTGCGGATTTGTGTTTCGAGATTCGAAAGCATTCCCACAGCACTCCCAAGAACGAAGTGGTTCCATTTTATAGGCAGCTACTGTATTATACTTACTCGTTTTAGATACGTACCACCAGCATTTAAAACATTTTTTTTTTTTTTTATAAAAAAATTAGTATTTTATTTGGTAACAAATTTACTGTACGCACGAATGTAGTATGATTGTGTGTTGTGATTTTAGAATTATGCTATGGCCGATACGGTAAATTTATGACATATATATTTTATCGAATTTTAGTTTTGTAAACTTAGAACTATAAAAGCTATCGTTTTTTTTTTTTTGAAGAAAGCTTTAAACTCAAATAATTTTTGGCACTTAGCATACATAAATTATTAATACTTTATTTACATAGGTAGAACTTACTACACAACGCTTACACATGTACACATATACATACATATATTGAGATTTTTTTAAATTAATTTTCATTGTTTTCATCTTTAACTTATCACTATTTTTTTATTTAGAACATATTTTTATTTTTAATTGAACATTTAATTTCCTTATTACTGTTTTATAACTATATTTTATACTGTTGATTTTTAAATTTTTCCCGACCCTCTTATCACTCATCAATTCGACTCAATTTCGATATCAAAAATATTTTTGTACAGCGGTAAAAATTTTGCCAACGCACTCACTTGACTACTAACATTCGTCGCTGCATTAAACTCTCCATACCACACCACCAATGTTTCATCTAACTTCCGTTCACTCGGCAATAGCCGATCCACATATTCACCCACTGTTGTATTGAACATTTTTGAAAATTCCACAAAACGTTGCTGCATTTCCAATTCGATCTGCAACACACCCGCCTTCTTCAGCGCATTATCAATAATCACATTTTCCGCTGTCGGTTGCTTTATGCGCGTCGTATTATGTTGATCCACAAATGCTTCGAAATTTCTCGCCATCAACGTTTTCACACCGAATCGTATAAACTGTGTTGCAAAATCATCGCCTTTGTTCATTTTGAGGGCGTCTCTTACACCCGCTATAAATGAGGCGCAGCTCTTTTTCACCGCCTCCATTGTTGCACATTTCACCATCTCAATTGTGTCGTCTTGTAGAAACTGGTTGACGACCGATCTCTGTTGCTCCAATGCATAATCAATCAACTGGGTAACTTCGCGCATCATTATAACCGCAAGCCGATCGCGCCCGCGTAGCTTAAGTGGCGGCAACAGCTCGGTTGTTTCATCGCCTTCATCGCCAACACCGGCAACAGTAGTGGCATCACTGTCTCCGCCGCCGCTGACGTCTTCGCCACCAGCTTCATCGTCACCGTCATCGCCACCGCCACCGCCACCGCCACCCCCACTACCCTCGTCGGGCGTAGTGGTTTCGCCATCGTCATCGACATCGCCTTCATCCTCAACACTCCCAACGTCGTCACCGGCATCGCCTTTGCCTTCGCCTACGCTTACGCCTGCGTCAGCATCTTCACTGGGTGGTGTTGTTTTCATTAATTGCGGTATCGCTTTCTTTGTCACTACGCTGCTCTCCTCATCATCATCAGCAGTTTCTTCATATGTTTCAACTGTTGCTTCATCAGCGTCATCATGAGCATCGTCGTCTTTGTCATTTATATCCAATGTTGTCTCTATGGAGCGCTCTGTGCTACTATTACTGGTACTGATGTCTTTTGCATTAACTGGCAGTTGCGTTGATTCCGTTGCTGCGACCAACTAAGTAAATAGATAGATGTTTTGATTAGTACATACTACATACATACATACATACATACGTATGGAAATAAACTATAGAATTCAGTTGTTGTATAGAATTGTTGTTGTTGTGGTTGTGTTTGGTATGTATTTATTTTTATGTGCTTGTTTAGTTTGCATGTAGTTTAAGGTCAGATTTGTTTATAAATATTATTAGAAGAAAGCGTCTAGTGATGATAGTGGGGAAAAACAAATGCCGTGGACTCGACTCACCTGTGCTAAGAGTAATGCGGTGAGCAGCAGCAGCAGCAGCAGCAGTGGCAGCATCGCTTTCTTCCACATTCTCTCAGCGAAAAAATGCTATACCACACACCAATGACTGAGATGCAACTGAAATTGTTTATCATGTCTATAGTCTTTTATACATTACACTTAATAAAAGAGAAATTGCAATATCTCTTTGATTTGTTTTGTATGTTTTGATATTTTCACACCCTACACGCAACAAATAGAGGAGTCTCAGTTTATCGCAAAGAATACATTTGTATGTATGTACGTGCGAAGTTTGTGCAATTGTGTGATTGGTGACTGTGCATCGTTCTGGGTGGAATTGCGAAAGCGCAGATTTGGAGGGATATAAATTTGGGGGAGGTGGATATACTTCGCAATTTGTTCAAATTTCTGCAATTGTTAAAGATGTCATAATTTTTTTTTAGCGCAGCTCATGCTTTGGCATGAAAATGCCAAAAAAAAATTTACTAATAAAAAAAACTCAATACAAAAATCAATAAAAAGAATATTATGCATCGAAAATTTTAGGATGAAATACATTCAAGGCGAATTAATGTAAGGTAATAGCAAAACTGTTAGAGTGTGTGTGGACATGCAAATAAAATCTTTCAATTTGACACAAGAAGCCGTGAGGCTAGACACATACACAAAATCAGCTGATCTAGTAACAGCACCTGATATAAATTCGCCTAATTCGCCGGTTCGATGTTTCTTAAAAATACACTTTTTTATCAAAATCTAATCACCTCGTAACGTTAGCTTCATCAGTAGCTCGTATATTGTGAGGCTCTATTGAAAAAATTGCATATTGAATTAACTTTGATTTTGTTTATTTGAATCATTAGCACCATTGCTGAAATCACTTGATAACTGGTAACAGCAAATAAGTATATACATATATAGGAAAAAAGTTGCTTATTTTGTAATATCATAAAAGTGATTAAAAAAAAAACAATCAATGTGATAGTAAAGCAAGAGAAATGTTCAGCTAAGCTCAAAACTTATATTGGCACATGGTAGTACAAGTAGTAGAAGCTTTTAAAAAGAACGGATTTTGATTTTTTTTTTTCAAATTTATAAAACTTCAGGCTGATGAGAGAACTATAATTAAAAAAAATATACCCAAATGCCGGATGTGCAAAGCAAGAAAAACATGATTTTTAATATTTTGTTCTTTTTGATGAGCTAAACAATGCTAAACGTTAAATTAAAAGAAAAATTATTGAAATGTACAAAAGTATTTTCTTTATAAAGAAAAAATTACCACACATAAATTTTTAATATATTTTTGCAGCTATTTTTTACAAAGTTATTGAATTTTTTAAATTTTNTTGAAAAAATTACATATTGAATTAACTTTGATTTTGTTTATTTGAATCATTAGCACCATTGCTGAAATCACTTGATAACTGGTAACAGCAAATAATTATATACATATATAGGAAAAAAATTGCTTATTTTGTAATATCATAAAAGTGATTAAAAAAAAAAATCAATGTGATAGTAAAGCAAGAGAAATGTTCAGCTAAGCTCAAAACTTATATTGACACATGGTAGTACAAGTAGTAGAAGCTTTTAAAAAGAACGGATTTTGATCTTTTTTTTTTCAAATTTATAAAACTTCAGGCTGATGAGAGAACTATAATTAAAAAAAATATACCCAAATGCCGGATGTGCAAAGCAAGAAAAACATGATTTTTAATATTTTGTTCTTTTTGATGAGCTTTTTTGGTCTAAATGGTAATTACAGTAAGTAAAACAACGCTAAACGTTAAATTAAAAGAAAAATTATTGAAATGTACAAAAGTATTTTCTTTATAAAGAAAAAATTACCACACATAAATTTTTAATATATTTTTGCAGCTATTTTTTACAAANAAATGCCAAAAAAAAAATTTACTAATAAAAAAAACTCAATACAAAAATCAATAAAAAGAATATTATACATCGAAAATTTTAGGATGAAATACATTCAAGGCGAATTAATGTAAGGCCTTATTCGCCGGTTCGATGTTTCTTAAAAATACACTTTTTTATCAAAATCTAATCACCTCGTAACGTTAGCTTCATCAGTAGCTCGTATATTGTGAGGCTCTATTGAAAAAATTGCATATTGAATTAACTTTGATTTTGTTTATTTGAATCATTAGCACCATTGCTGAAATCACTTGATAACTGGTAACAGCAAATAAGTATATACATATATAGGAAAAAAGTTGCTTATTTTGTAATATCATAAAAGTGATTAAAAAAAAAAATCAATGTGATAGTAAAGCAAGAGAAATGTTCAGCTAAGCTCAAAACTTATATTGGCACATGGTAGTACAAGTAGTAGAAGCTTTTAAAAAGAACGGATTTTGATTTTTTTTTTTCAAATTTATAAAACTTCAGGCTGATGAGAGAACTATAATTAAAAAAAATATACCCAAATGCCGGATGTGCAAAGCAAGAAAAACATATTTTTTAATATTTTGTTCTTTTTGATGAGCTTTTTTGGTCTAAATGGTAATTACAGTAAGTAAAACAACGCTAAACGTTAAATTAAAAGAAAAATTATTGAAATGTACAAAAGTATTTTCTTTATAAAGAAAAAATTACCACACATAAATTTTTAATATATTTTTGCAGCTANGCATATTGAATTAACTTTGATTTTGTTTATTTGAATCATTAGCACCATTGCTGAAATCACTTGATAACTGGTAACAGCAAATAAGTATATACATATATAGGAAAAAAGTTGCTTATTTTGTAATATCATAAAAGTGATTAAAAAAAAAAACAATCAATGTGATAGTAAAGCAAGAGAAATGTTCAGCTAAGCTCAAAACTTATATTGGCACATGGTAGTACAAGTAGTAGAAGCTTTTAAAAAGAACGGATTTTGATTTTTTTTTTTCAAATTTATAAAACTTCAGGCTGATGAGAGAACTATAATTAAAAAAAATATACCCAAATGCCGGATGTGCAAAGCAAGAAAAACATGATTTTTAATATTTTGTTCTTTTTGATGAGCTAAACAATGCTAAACGTTAAATTAAAAGAAAAATTATTGAAATGTACAAAAGTATTTTCTTTATAAAGAAAAAATTACCACACATAAATTTTTAATATATTTTTGCAGCTATTTTTTACAAAGTTATTGAATTTTTTAAATTTTTTATTTTTTACACGCTTTTGTTATGCCTCATCTGTGTGTAATCAGATCTTGTAATTTTTTACCAACTTTCCTATAAGCCAGATACTTTAAGCTTCAAACTTAGCTCGGATGTCCGATGACAATGCAATATAAAAAAATAATTAATGCGCTAGGTGGCGCAGATGTCGAGATATTTGGAAAATACGTATTTAAGGTCCGATTTGTTTCATATTTTTTAGAACAAATATTACTTAAATGGAAAAAAACTATTAAGAAAAATAGCTGTTAGGTGATCAACCATTAAATAAAGCTAGTCCTAAACAAATTTTTTTTAATTTCTTGTTTTCTAAAACATTTAATTTAGATTTTTTTCAAATCTCTTAAACTCCAGTCTGATGAGAAAACTAAAATTTAAAAAAAATACGCAAAGGTTAAGATGTACAAAACAATTTTAATATAGTTTTGCAGTTATTTTTTACAAAGTTGTCTGTTTAGTATTTGAATTTTTAAATCTCCTTATGTTNCTTATTGAATTTTGTAAATTTTTTATTTTTTACACGCTTTTGTTATGCCTCATCTGTGTGTAATCAGATCTCGTAATTTTTTACCAACTTTCCTATAAGCCAGATACTTTAAACTTCAAACTTAGCTCGGATGTCCGAAGACAATGCAATATAAAAAAATAATTAGTGCGCTAGGTGGCGCAGGTGTCGAGATATTTGGAAAATACGTATTTAAGGTCCGATTTGTTTCATATTTTTTAGAACAAATATTACTTAAATGGAAAAAAAACTATTAAGAAAAATAGCTGTTAGGTGATCAACCATTAAATAAAGCTAGTCCTAAACAAATTTTTTTTAATTTCTTGTTTTCTAAAACATTTAATTTAGATTTTTTTCAAATCTCTTAAACTCCAGTCTGATGAGAAAACTAAAATTTAAAAAAAATACGCAAAGGTTAAGATGTACAAAACAATTTTAATATAGTTTTGCAGTAATTTTTTACAAAGTTGTCTGTTTAGTATTTGAATTTTTAAATCTCCTTATGTTTGTTAGTTTTTTTTTCTTTTAATCTAGTCTCAAGATATTTTCAGTTCTGAAATAGTAAATTCGTTTAACTTAAACTCACAAAATATTTTATAAATTTTTTTACCGTTAGGTAAGTAAAGGTTTAGGTGCTTTCGATGCGTTTTCGGTTTGAAAGGTTCCAAAGTTTTCGGGCTTTGTATAGTTTAAGTGAAGACGATTTCCTAAGTTCCCGTGCTCTATAGGTTTCGTAATAAAAATTTTGTTTTAAAAGACTTAGTGCCATTTTCTCATATAGGTTTTAAAATTTATCTGCCTTCCAAACACATTTTTCAGAACAAAGTTTGTCTTTAAAAGGCAGATAAATTTCAAAACCTACATGAGAAAACGGCTCTTATTCTGGGTAGAATTTGTTTTATAATCAGCACTTTATTGTTTTTTTTT